GGAGGTCCCAGCAGTTCAAGTGTTCTCCTTCTTGGTGAGGGCAGTACCCTAAGCAGTGCTAGCATGCACCGCTATGGCAAATTAAAACTCACTGTCTCTTTTGGGGCTTCCTCGATTCAGAAGCCTACTGGTGGCAAGGCTTTTTGTTCAGAAACGTTCAGTATAATCTGATTTTTGCTGCAACTGTGTATATGAAGGAATGCAGATACAATGACAGCTATCCCGGGTTACTTTTGGAATAGGCGTAGTAGTTCTAAAGTTGTGTGGGGGTGTAACAGCACGGTGCCATGAAAATGCATCTGGTAATGTGGAGAAGTATCACAGTTTAAGGCCCTAGAGACGCGGGGCTGCATGTTCTCCTTACGTTGTAATGCCCACAAAGCCCCTAGATATTACGTGCAAAATCGCCAACAAGAAGAACACTTTGACAACCCTTTTTCAGACTTGAGCGACTGCCGGAATGCAGCTGCACTCACCCTGAAGACTCGTGCTCCAGAGCTCCCTGTCAAAGCCTGAAACCTAAACCTTGAAAAGACTGGATTTTGCAGAGGCCCGTACCGTGGCTTCCCCGCGGCGGTCCTGCTCGATTGTAGGATAGCTAGAACTGGCTTAAACAAAAATATGGCACTGGAACAGTGATAGTAGCTGTAACAGAACTTCTTAGTAAAATCAGTCATTGACCAGTAGCACACATTTGCTGATTGAGCTTTTTCCTACCTGGTCTGCAGCAATCAGCAATCGCCCAAAGCACCTCAATTGACATAAAAACACTCCCAGAGAAGGTTCTCTCGAATCCACTCTACAAGGGACATCACACAATTCTTGCAGGTTTTGTGCGTTTATGTGCTCCGGGGGCCAGACAGTAATGACGTACAGCTATATTTTTAGATGATGCCAGACTGAGATTTGCAGCGCTCTTGAGGATAATAACGCACAATCCAAAGTATCGTAGCACTGATAGCGTCAATGGCTTGCTGCTGCTTCCGGGATCTAATGAGTGGATTTGCCCAGGGTCGGTGAGCGGCAACGGCTGGAACCCTACCCAAAGCTCCCTAAAGGATACAAAAAGTGGAACCACCCCAAGCTTGCCTTGGGTGACAGTTGGGGCTTATGGCGCAAACCTTTCTTGATGGCTAGGGAGTCTGGATACACAACCCTAAACCATAAATCCTGA